TCAGCCTCCCAAAGGTGCGGGATTACAGGCTGAGCCACCGAGCCCGGCTTCTCTCTTCTTTCTTTCTTTCTTTTTCTTTCTCCCTCTTTCTCTTTTTCTTTCTCTTTCTTCTCCTCCGTCTCCCACTCTTTCCTTCCTTTTCTTCCTCTCCTTCTGCTCCCTCCCTCCCTCCCTCCTTCCTTCCCTCCTTCCTTCCTTCCTTCTTCCTGTCTGTCTGTCTACTCTGTCACCCAGGCTAGAATTCAGTGGCACAATCTCGGCTCACCGACCCTTGACCTCCTGGGCTCAGGTGATCCTTCTGCCCCAGCCACCTGAGTAGCTGGGACCACAGTGTGCACCGCCATGCCTGGTTAATTTTATTGATTTTTGTAGAGATGAGATCTTGCTATGTAGCCCAGGCTGGTCTTACCTCCTGGCCTCCAGCAATCCTCCTGCCTCAGTCTCCTGAATAGCTGGGATCACAGGCATGTGCCACCACACTGGCTAATGTTTTTGATTTTTGTAGAGAGGAGGTCTTGCTGTGTTACCTGGGCCCGACTGTAGACCATGTCTCTGCAGCTAGCCAGACCTGTCACGACCACACAGCTCTCCTCGTGCGCTTGCCTCTGCTTTGCAGAACTCCAGGCCACAGGAGCCTAAACGCCGCCCAGTCTGGGTGTTCCCTGGCAGGGCAGGGCTCGGCTTCTCCCCTCCAGGCCAAGGGTTGTCTGGGCCTGCCACCTCTCACGTGAGCCCACTCCCCTCCAGGTGAGCTTCAGCATCGAGGCCAAGGTGCGGGGCTGCCCCCGGGAGAAGGAGAAGTCCTTCACCATCAAGCCCGTGGGCTTCAAGGACAGCCTGACCGTGCAGGTTGCCTTCGACTGCGACTGCACCTGCCAGGCCAGGGCCGAGCCGCACAGCCGCCGCTGCAACAATGGCAACGGGACCTTCGAATGCGGGGTGTGCCGCTGCGGGCCCGGCTGGCTGGGCTCCCAGTGCGAGTGCTCTGAGGGGGACTTCCGGCCCTCCCAGAAGGACGAGTGCAGCCCCCGCGAGGGCCAGCCCGCCTGCAGCCAGAGGGGTGAGTGCCTCTGCGGCCAGTGCGTCTGCCACAGCAGCGACTTCGGCAAGATCACCGGCAAATACTGCGAGTGCGACGACTTCTCCTGCGTCCGCTATAAGGGCGAGATGTGCTCAGGTGAGGGGCGCACCACCCACCGGCCCACCCCTCACCCCCTGCCCTGAAAGTACAGGCAGGCCTGGGGTCCCGCAGAGGTGGTCAGAGCTACGCATCCGTGGTTCCTGATTTTTTTTTTTGAGTCAGGATCTCACTCTGTCTCCGGGCTGGAGTGCAGTGGCACAGTCATGGCTCACCACAGCCTCGACCTCCTGGACTCAGGCGATCCTCTTGCCTTAGTCTCCCAAGTAGCTGTGACCACAGGCATGCACCATCATGCTCAGCTAATTTTTTTGATTTTCTGTAGAGTAGGGATCTCACTATGTTGCCCAGGCTGTTCTTGAACTCCTGGACTCAAGTGTTCCTCCCACCTCAGTCTCCTGAGTAACTGTAACTAACAGGCATATACCACCACACCTGACTAATTATATATATATATTAGAGTTGAAGTATCACTGTGTTGCCCAGGCTGTTCTCAAACTCCTGGTCTCAAGTGATCCTTCCACCTCCGTCTCCCAAAGTGCTGGGATTACAGGCACGATCCATTGCACCCTGCCTCCTGACCTTTTCGATAAGGACCAATCTCTTTTTCAGGCCAAGAAGCATCGCTAACAGATGGCAATTAAATTTTTAGTGTTGATAGACTTGGAAAATACATGATGTCAGAATCTATGGTACAGTTAGTCATAATTTTACATGAGTGTATCTATTTATCACAAGAGACTTGGAAAATAGTGGCATATATGCAAGACAGTAGAACTCACTTAATGACCTAATACATTTGCAACAGAGTCTGGAAATGGAGGAGGGCTCTTGTTACATGTTAGTACGGGCTTGTTGTCACTGTTGCTACTCATGGCACTGCTGTGACCTCTTGGGCTCTGGAACCGTGCTGTCCCATGTGGCAGCCACTAGCCACACTGGCTACTGAAATGAATTGCAATTTTTAAAAAATTAAAAATTCAGTTCTTTGGTTGACCTAGCCACATGGGACTGGTGGCTATCATATTGGGCCGCACAGGTCTAGGACATTTCGTCATGGCAGTTCTGTGGGCCCACGCTGCCACAGAGCCCCTGCCCACGGGTTGGCTTATGACTTTGAGTCTTCCTTCGCAGCAGGGTGCCAAGTCGTCCTTCTCATTGCAAAAGTCAGTGAAGTCTGGGGGCTCACAGATCATCTCACACTGGTTTCTCCTCGCCCCCAAACTGCTGGTGGGGTTCTTTCCCAGCTAGAAGCTGAGCTCATGTTAATGTTGCTTTCCCTGCAGGTGCACTGGCAGCAAGCTCAGAGGGCAGCTAGTCTGAGTTGCTCCAGGGCACTAGGGATGGGTTTAGGCCAGGCCAGAACTGCTGCGGCTTAGCCCTGTTTGGGACAGATGGACTGCAGACGCCTGTTAGCTGGTTGGGACTGGCTGCAGGTGTGTGGTGCGGCTGGTTGACCAGAGACATCACGGCAGAATCGCTCTCCGAAATGACTCAGAAGTCTGACCAGCTGCTCTTGCCTTGGGGTTCGGACCAGCCGAGCAACCCACACGGGTGCGCCCTCTAACACCGGGGTCATTCTAGAGCCTGTCCAGGGACATAAAAACAAATCCTTCCTTATCCACAGCCCTATTTCCTTTACTCAAGCCCACGGCACTTTAGAGAGAGTTTGGAGGAAAGTGATAGCAGAGAGATCAGGAGATTGGAGCGATCACACACAGATGAATGTACCAGACAGCAGCCTTTTGAATCAGGGGTGAGGCGGGAACCTTAGTGCATTTTAGTATCGAGCAGCGTTGCCAACACATTCAAAGCACCCAGGGAAGTGGGTCAGTTTGAAGTGGGAGGTCCCTGGGAGAGGCTGAGACTAAGGGGAGAAGGAGGCAAGGGGAGTGGCCTCCAGATGGCTCGTGGGGGTGGAGAGGACCACCTTCCTCCTCCCTCCCCGATGTCCCTGGCCCTCAGGCGCACTGTGGGGGGCGGAGGGGGACCCGGCCAGGGCATGCTTCCTTTGGCTGCCACCCCACTGCAGCCGCTCAACCCCGCCCCGCCATCCCAGTGCAGGGCCGGTCCATCCTCCACCCGTTCTGGTCTGGCCCACGAGGGACCTGTAGATGGTCCCTCCACCCCTTCCTGCCGGGTGCCAGGTGCCATCCTCAGTGTAGACTGTGGTCTCCAGCACCTGCTCTGTGCTGGCGTTGGGTCCCTGTGGGTGAACAGGGTCGCACGTGACCCCTGACCCCTCAGAGCCCATGGCCCACCACGCCATGGCCCCTTGCCAGAGCCGCCAGCCCTGAGGTCTGTTCTCTGCCACAGTGGGGGCTCCCCGAGGCAGGGGTGCTGTGACTCAGTTTCCTCCCCAGCCCTGGCCTCTAGGTTTGGCAGCTGGTCCCTGGAGGTCACGCTGTGTCCGCCCTATTTTATTTGTTCCTTTATTTTTAAATTTCATCTTTGATGCACGGGGAATGTGAGCAGGGTTGTCATGCGGGCATCTTGGGGATGGCGAGGCTGGGCTTCTGTGGAACCTGGTCCCAGACAGGCAGTCTCTCAACACTTGCTCCTCCCTCCCTGCCCCCGAGGGGTCCCCAGCCCATCTTTCTGCCCCTGTGTACCTGGCGTTAGGCCTCCGCTCCTAAGTAGGAAACTGTGGTGTCTGGTTTTCTGTTTCTGTGCTAATTCGCCCAGAATAGTGACCCCAGCTGCACCCATGTTGTTGTAAAGGGCATGATTTTGTTCTTTTTTTCTCGTTAAAAATATTTTCTTTATTTCAATAGAGTTAGGCAGCACAAATAGTTTTTGGTTACACGGGTGCATGGGATAGCGGCGAAGAAGTCTAGGCCTGAAGTGTGCCCACCACCCTCACCGGTGCGCACTGCACCCGACCGGCGGCCTTTATCCCTCCCCCTTCACACCTTCCTCCTTCTGAGTGCCCGGTGTTCCTCATACTGTGGCAGAAAGGGCACTGATCGCAGTTAAAAGTATTCCCTTGGGCCGGCTCGGTGGCTCAGCCTGTAATCCCGCGCCTTTGGGAGGCTGAGGTGAGTGGATTGCCTGAGCCCACGGGTTCGAGACCCGCCCGGGCAGCGAGACCTCATCTTTACAATAAATCAAAAAATCAGCTGGGTGTGGTAGCGCATGCCTGTAATTCCAGCTACTCGGAAGGCTGAGGCGGAAGGATTGCCGGAGCCCAGCAGGTTGAGGCTGCGGTGGCCGGGAGCGGCCACTGCACTCCACTCTGGGCGACAGAGTGAGACTCCAACTCAAAAAAAAAAAAAAAAAAAGTATTCCCTTGGAGCCATCAAAGGGCAAGCTCCAAAAACCTGCCAGACAGGTTTTTGCTTGAGAAAGCCAAAGAGTGGAGAATGGTTTTCTTGGAAATGAAAAAGAGTGACCAATTCACAAACTTACCCAAATCCCTTCTTTTTGAAGTTGATAGTTTGCAACCCTGCTTGCCATGCATTTCCTGGAGACCATTTGTTCTTTGAAAGATCTAATTTAGCCAGGCTGGTGGCTCAGCCTATGATCCTGTGCCTTTGGGAGGATGAGGTGAGTGGATGGCCTGAGCCCGCAGGTTTGAGATCCACCCGGGCAACTTGGCGAGACCTCATCTCTACAATAAATCAAAAAATCAGCCGGGCGTGGTAGCGCATGCCTGTAATTCCGGCTACTCGGAAGGCTGAGGCGGAAGGATCGCCGGAGCCCAGCAGGTCGAGGCCACGGTGGCCGGGAGCGGCCGCTGCACTCCAGTCTGGGCGACAGAGTGAGACTCCAACTCAAAAAAAAAACTAAAAAAAAAAGATCTGATTTTGCTGAGTACAACCTTGTAAACTCCAAGAAAATGTGTAATCGCTTTACACGACCCCCTTCCCTTACCTAAACAAAGGTATAAGACCCCTCTCCTCCCTTTCCGGGGTGCTTGGCCTGGGAGCATTAGCCAGCATAAAGAATCTTGCCACTTCCTGTAATAGCCTCAGTGTCACGGCCTTTGTGTTCCCGCTACAACACCATTCCCTCCGTCTTGTAGACCCTTAGTTGAGCTCCCATGTGGAAGTGAGAATGTGTGGTGCTTGGTTTTTCGTTCTCGCATCAGTTCACTAAGGGTGATGGTCTCCCACTCCACCCAAGTTGCTGCAAAAGACATGATTTCATTCTTTTTGATGGCTGAGCAGTACTCCATGGCACTCATGAGCCACATTTTCATGACCTGTTGGGCATTTTGGCCGACTCCACATCTTTGCTCCTGCGAATTGTGCTGTGATAAACATGTCGGTGCAGGTGTATTTTGTTGTTGTTGTTTTGCACAATGCCCTCTCATTCAGTTCTTTCTGATGGCTGCGCCCTCCCTGCTTTAGACACAGTCTTCTGGGCTGCTCAGGACCAGCACCGCGCCTCACAATCAGGGTGCCACCCTCGTCCTCAGGACAGTTTTCCGCCAGCCACGTGCATGGCTCTGTGCTGCAGTGGACTGGGAGAGCGAGGCATGGAGAAGACAGCGTTGGCTTTCTTCCGCTCTCTAGATCCTTCCCAACATGGCGCCAATCCTTGGGGTGAGGGCTCCTCAGGGGCTGCTGTGGGAGTCTGCTGGAGAGAGACTCGTGGAAGGGGAGACCTGGGCAGCTTCGTAGAGGAGGTGGAGTGTCTGATGAGTCTCAGAGGGGGGCCGGATTGTAAGGAAGGGAGTGGATAGGTGTGTCTGCCCAGAAGGTCCAGTGGTGGAGAGCGCGTGAATGGTTCCTCTGCCCTGGAACACCAGCCTCCTTCCCACTCTGCTCCCTCTCTCGTCCCCCCTCCTCTCTTCATATTCCACCCCCTCCTGGGCCTTCCCGATGCCCCCAGGCTCAGCTTTCCTTCTGCTGGAAGGCCTCCAGGCCTGGGACAGGACTGCACTGTGGTTTCCTCCGAAGGGCCAGCCGGCCGTGTCTGGGTTTGGGGTCAGCCTGCTGGGTCTGGCTGCTCCCATGCCCAGCCCCCGTCTCTGGCCAGCCCGTTCATCAAAGATCCCTTTGTGTGGCCTCACAAAAGACACGCTAAGGCGCACGGTGTCTGCGGCGGCCACGGCCTCTATGGGCTGCCAGGCCTCTGTGGTGTCAGGGTTTCCCTGTCTAGGAACCGTGGCCAGAAGTGGGTGTAGCGGGTGCCGTGGGTCCTGACTCTGCCGGCTGGTGCCCCTTGCCCCCTGCCCTGAGGGCTGGCTGCTGGCAGCTCACAGCAGCCACTTCCCCAGGGCAGAGCCCTTGGCTGATGAGAACTGCCCTGCCCCCAGTTGTCAGCCAGTGACAGGGACAAAGGGTTATACGGGCCAAGCCCTGCGGGGGGTGGGGGGGCGGTGGAATGGGTGGGGCATTCATGCTCCAGGCATCCCAGGCCTGGACCACATTCCTGCCAGCTTCTAACTCTCACCTCCCCTCTGCTCCCTCAGTAAGTTCTCGCCACAGGCTGGCCTCTAGGGAGGCCAACCTCTGGAACAGGGCCTTCCTGCCTCCCCCTGCCTTCCCACCAGCCCCCCACCCTGCTCTCCTATGCCCCGGCAGCTGGGCAACTGGGGTCGTGTTCTGGACATTCCTTTCCAAGTCAGCGAGGTGCCTCTGAGTCTTGCATGCCGGTGTGGCCACTAGGGGTGCTGCAGGACCCACGGAGTTCGGCCCTGGGGGTGGTTGGTGAGACCAGGAGCCATCCGGATGGCGTTTGGGCCCGGGCGTGCATCAGCCTCTGCCTGCCCAGCTTCCTCCTGCCTCTGTGGGCCCGGCAGCTCAGGCCGTGGTGTGGTTTCCAGAGCAGTTCGGGCCGCTTCCCGGTGCCCTCTGCCTTTCCTCTGATTAACAATCCGCTTTTTATTATTCATCCACTTCTTCCTGATTAGGAGTCCTGGAGAGTGAGTCACCATTCTGCAGGAGCCCAGGGTTAAAGTCCTATGGAGGGTGTTAGGGGTCCAGCCCGACAAGTGCCTGCCTGCCGTGAAGCAGCCTGCCCCTCCTTACACTCATGTGGCGAAGAGGACAGGCCTGTCCTGCTGGGGCTGCCGGTTCTTTGCAATACTGTAACGATATAAGATAGGGATACAATGTAACAAAAGTCCTGGCAGGACAAGACAGGGGATGCAATGTAATAAACATCCTGGAAGCTGCCCTGCCCGCAGGGGTCGGCCAGTGACAGGGACAAAGGGTTATTACAGGCCTTTCCAAAGCAAAGCAAAGAGAAAGAAACAAACAACAACACAGGGCACAAGTGAATGAATGTGTGTGTTTTCCAGGGTTTGAGCTGGATGCCACAGCGGGGACCTGTCTGCCTTGTTTATGCTGAACCTCTGGTGCCCAGCGAGTGGCAGGAGCTCAGTAGACATTTGTTGAGTGGCCAAGCAAGCAGATATTACTTGCATGCATACTGTGCAACAGATTTCCTGCTAATCGCTTTTTATGGGAAAATGAACGTGCCAAGTTCTCTTCCGTCAAGGAGCTCCTGGTCCAGAAAGAGAAGAGGCAAGAAAGTGAAAGTGTGAAAGTGAGGTAGATTTAAAGTACCTGGAGAGCACACGGACAGACAGTTGCTTCTGCCTGGGAGGGGCAGACAGAGTTACAGAGAGAAGGGAAATTTTGAGTGGGGTCCTAGAGGGTGAGTAGGAGTTTGGTAGTGGTCACAGACTGAAAGGGCATTCTAGGTGGAGGGAACGGCAGGAACAGAAACATGAGAATCCAAGGACAGAGCAGAAGATGGTGAGTCGTTCCCTGCGGTGGTGAGTGAGTGGCCCTGGGAGTAGGTGTTGAGATTTGAGGCTGGAAGCAGGTTGAGTGCCTTGCAAGACTTTGAATGTTTGCTAAAGACTTGGCAGTTGATCCTCTAGGCAGAATGGAGTCCTTGTGGGTTTTTTTTTTTTTTTTTTTGG